TGACACTTGTGGGGGTGGGGAGAGGCACCTGTCCAGGAGGGCAGGCCCCTGTGACAGGGCTGTGAGGGAACCAGCGAGGATGTGGGGTGGGACAAGAGATGTGATGGACCACGTGGCCCCAGACTCTGCATCAGAATGTTGCTCACGTTGTAGGAGGAAGCATGAGGCCCCCGGGTGTCTGGCTGTGGCTCAGGCCTGGGTGTGCGTGTGTGCATATGTCACATGGGGTGGGGGCAGAGGGGCCAAAGAGGGGAGCCAGAGAGCCTGGGGGAGGGGCCGTGCCACATAGGGTGGGGGCAGAGGCAGAGGGGCCAAGAGGGGAGCCAGAGAGCTCTGAGCTGCTGTGGTGGAGAGAGGTTTCAAAACCCACTTCCCCCTGCCCTGCCCCTCAGTAATCTGTTTAACAAACAGGATATCCTGAAAACACAGAGAGAAGGTGGCCTGTGAGCTCTCGGGGAGTGACTGTCCATCTCTACTTCCTCCTGGTGGTCAGGACCAACCACCCCAGCCAACACAGCTGCCCTTCTGATGGACTGTCAGGGGGGAACGGCGTTGCTGCCAGATGAAGAGGCTTAAGGCTAGGATGCAGGAGCTCCCTGGGCCCCTCCTAGCTCTAGCCGAAATTAAATGAAAGATGCCAACAGGACCAGCAAAGGGCTCAGGCCCCCAGGAATGAAGGTGTGAGTGACCCACTGGGTTAAATAACCCAAGTAAGGGAGGTGCCAGCGGAGGGCAACGGGAACGTGGAGTCGCAGAGGAGAGAGGCCATCCCGCTATCTGTCGCAGAAGGGAGAGGACCTATTTTTCCTTCCTTTCTGTGTCATAGGGACTTTACTATATTTCACTCAATTGTAATTTGCCTTCCTCCCTCTTTCGCCCACTGACACAGGACAGCGGTCCTCAAAGTCCAAAGGGGTCCACGGGATCCATTTAACACTCTTAAAAATTGCTGAGGATCCCAGCAAGCCTTTGTTTATGTGAGTTATAGTAACACTTACCATGGTAGAAATTAAAGCCAATAACTTTAAAAAATATTTATTAATTCATTTAAAAACAATAAATCCATTACATATTAACTTTTTTTAAATGAAAAATAACCATATTTTCCAAAAGAAAAACAATTGGAAGTAGAAGAGTGGCCTTGCTTTTGCATTTTGCAAACCTCTGAATGTCTGGCTTCGTAGAAGGCAGCTGCTTTCCCACATCTGCTCCTGCGTTCAACCTGCTGCAGGCACGTAGTCTTGAGTCAAGAATGACAAGTGAATTGGCTTCTCCCGGAGGTGCAGGTGGGGAGGGAGGACCTCGCGGACGCCTGGGGCCCCTGGACCACACTTTGGGGGCACATTGTGGTGGTGAACTTTAATCCATACATTCCAAAACGTACAGAGTGAACCACGACAGAACGAGAGGAGGAAGAGACACCAAATATCCTCAATTAAGAGTCGGATGAAGTGGTCGATGAAGCAGCTTTGGATGATCTCCTCTCTCCTTCGGGAAGGGAGGAGCCACCCTGTGTTGCAAGGCCGGTTGTATTATGCTGGACGGAAGCAGTACTTCTGAAGTCTAAGTGTGGGAAGAAGAATGTACGTCAGATGGCCAAGGGACTTGGTGTAGTGACTTTGTCATTATCTTTGGTAACCCAGCATCCGAACACCCTTCCTTTGCGGGCAAATCCTCTACTGAGTGAGTTTTAGCAGAGTCCTACCTCCTCCTGCTAGAGCTAAGGGAGGCAGACAAAGTCTCCTCTCCTGTTCTGGAAGCCGCAGAAGGATGCATATTTGAGGTTTGCCCAGTCATATCCCCCCTTCTGGTACTCTAACCTTGAGCTCCTGGCAGAGACAGTTGAGGAATTACTCATGGCAGCAGGGGCAACACTGGTAGCATTTTCTATTTTGGTGGCAGTGTCACGTGGCCAGGGGTGGGGAACCAGCTGGAGCATCACACCAAATGGTCCCTGCGGTACGAACTTGCTTGAGTTTCTGGCAGCACAACTTCTCTTGACCCCTACGTGCCGGCTGAGCTTGACGTCAGCCTTCCCGTCAGTCTGCGAGCTCCCTGGATCCCCCAAGTTCCCTTTACTGAGCCAGGAATGTCACCTTCTCACGTTTGCTGGGAGGGTCGGCTTCTTCCCTCATCTAGCGTGCTGCCGAGGCCTATCTAGACCCTGCTTCTTCCTCCTGCCTGGCTGGTTTCCCTGTGCCCAGGCTTGGGCTCTCCTAGCATCCTGCAGAGCTGCCCAGAGAAGGCCTTGGAGGACGGCACTGTCACACAGCTGTCCCACGCGAAGCCTCCTTGGCCTCTCCTCAGTTTACAGATGCGTCTCAAGACACACTCTTCCCCATCTCACTCCAGACCCCCGGCCTCCCCCAACAGATTCCCTTCTAATTATTACTACAATATTAAACAATTAACTTTTAAAAATGATGGAATGTTTGTAAAGCAGAGGGGGAAAAATTCATGATCTACCACAAGTTTTGAGATTCCTTTCCAGGCTTTAAAACTACCTTGCAGCATGCGTGCAGACTGTGTCACTGTGCCTTGGCGGTGTACTGGCTCACCCCACTGAGGGTGGGCGTGGCCTTGTGTTTTGGCCAACAGAACAGGTACATTTCACATGTCACACGTGAGCAGGGGTTCTATTTGTGCTCGCAGCGTTTGGTTTGGCCTCTTGTGCTTCTGCCATGAGAAAGAAAGGGCCTCAGGGATTGCTATGCCTTCACCTGGGACCCAAAAGAGACTAAGGAACGCACTGTGGAGCAGACCTCGATCAGATCCACGGCCTGGAGTACAGTCACCGCAGCCAACCTGCAGACCCCAAAGCGCGAGTTTGTAATTGTAGGCCCCTGAGATTTTTGAGGTTGCTTTGCAGCAAAAACTAATACATCATCTTATAGAACAAACTAGTTACAGAATTTGACATGCGCTAAACACTGTGGACAGTCAGAGTTGCATGGCAATTAGGTAAATCCCAAGGCACAGCTGAGCTTATATTAACTTTTACAGACTAAACCACATTCTACAACCTGTCATTCCTGCTGTTTTTCCTTAATGGTCTTGGGGCAGGAAAGAGGTCTGACAGGGGATGACCTGTCTGGGTGAGAAAGCTTGTAATCACATTCAGACGCTGGCTCTCCAAATCCTTGGGGCAGAGGAGATAAGATGGGTTGGGTGACCGTGGAGAGCGACCCATCAGGTTAGGATTGTTCCAGGTGCCCACAGCCCCCTGGCCTGAAAATGTAGCCAGGAGAGGCTGGCGATCCCACTGCTGCCCTGAAACCCGCCCTTCAACCCCTCCAGCAGCCTGTGCCTCCACTCCTCATCTTCCTCAAGCGTAAGTCAATGTCTTTGAGATATTATTTGGGGGTGGAGGGGTGACTCGGGGCACCGGGCTCCTGAAAACCGAGGGGCCTCAAGTTCCCAGAGAAGGTCACCCTGAGGCCAGCAGCTTCCTTCCAGGCATTTTGCATACCCTGCTCTTGTTCCCTCCCCCAGGTAGGCTCTGTCCTGAGCACTTTTAATTGTCCACTGTGTGTGTGCAGGCAGGGGCCACATTTGTGTTGCTCTCTAATGTACCGCACTTCCTAGCACCATGTCTGGCTCCGAGTAGGTCCTCAATAAATATCTGAGAGACTCAATGAATGAATCCTTCTTTGAGAAATAAATGTCACACCCACTGCTGCTCAGGGCTGCTTCCCACATGCTCACGGCTGGTGTAAACTGGCAGTGTGTGTGTGTGAATTTGGCTCGTCCTGGCTCTTTAAACTGAGCTGCAGCCCCCCTAGGCTTTCAGGTGCCCAAGGCTGGATTCTGCTGCTGGCACGCTCCCTCACCAAGGAAATTAAACTATTTACTTAATTCACATGGAGTCCAAGAGAGATCATTTCTACTAAGTTGCTAATAATAAAAATGGATTCCCTCCACTGTTCTCCCCAGTAATACCAATCTTCTTTTTCATTTTAACCTCCTTTTGAAAATATTTATTTGTTCTCAGGCAGAGGAACGTTCTTCTTCCAGGATCTGGTTTTTGTCCTCTCCAGTACCTAAAGAAACATTGTACTTATTTAGAAAATAACCTGAACTATTATTTCTCTGTTGCTGACACATCAAAAAGTTTGGACCTTAAAAGAATACCTGATCCTGTGGGCCATTTTTGGTTAAAGCCACTCTCTCGAACTTTCCAATGACAAGTAATACTTTATATTATGGCCAACTAATGTTCTAAGATTCTTAGAAATGGACAACCACTTGTTGCTTATTTTGGTTGTTCCCGAAGAGACGGTTACCTGTGTGGGAAAAATTCAAGGTGCTAAATAACAGTGTCACTTTATGGCCTGGCACCACGCTGGAGCACGTCACCTGTTCCCAAAGGATGGTGGCTGCTGCTTCTAAGAGAGACCTTAAAACTGTGCTGACCGAGTCATTTAACACCTGAATGTTAAGATCCTTGAGATTTTCAATCCCTATATTCATGCCTAGTACTTTGGTATCATCCCACACCAGGTACATATTAAGGTTCGAAGCAATCTTTAAGGACATCTGCGGGAAACATACAGCTTCACATACAAACTTAAAAAAATACTTTAACATAATGCATTGTACTGCACAGAACTAGAATTCAACATAACATATCACATTGCTAAAATATTCACATAAATACCATGTATGCATGGAGTCACTGCATTAGAAAAACCCGTCTATTAGGCTATTAAAGACCAGTCTCAACAAAGCCCAAGGAAAAACTATTTTAACAGTAGGAACACTAAAAATAACAACTATGAGGTTTATAAACAAGTGGTGGGAAAGAGAATTCTTTACATTTGCTATTGATTATGTCACGACAGGCACAATCTGAAATACAATTTTAGGCTAGTAGTGTATAAAAATACTTTTTAAAACAATACTTTTGATATATATAGTGCTCCTTAAAAAACCTCCAGCTGTGTAGTTATCCCATTTGAAGACCTACTAAAACAAATTCAACTTCCTGCTCCCAGCTAGCTCCTTAAGCACCAACCTGGAAAGCAAGTTCTCTCACACATGTGCACGCACCACACATACACACAGCCATATATGAAAATAACCTACGGCTACAGCACATGCTGATGAGTTACCGATAGGCGTCAATTTCAAACGAGGCGTGAGATGATCCTGTTTAGAGCCTGTTTTTAGTTCTAGATTTGGGACGGACAAACAGAGGCAGAAGTAAGGTGGAGTGTGTGTGCGTGTGGTTTCTATTCCTCTTGTGGGCACTCTCTAGGAAATAAGTTTAATCTGGCATATCAATATTAAGCTTGGGAGGTGGGGGAACATATTTCCCAGGGCTCTGGGTTATAACTACCCTGGCCTTCTTTCCAAACATTGGAGCGATTTTAGGAACTTCTGGAACCGATGTTTCTTCGGCATCTTCACTATCTTCATGATGTAGATCATATGAAATGTTCCCATATTCTCTTAAAAATGGGAAAATTTCAAGCAGAAACTGACAGAAATCTTTGCGAATACCAAACCACCAATGGTTGCCCCCTTTTCGCCTAAATGTCGTGGCCATTAACGTTATTAATGAAAGCCAAAGGGGGACAAATATGGAGATATAAGAGAACGTATTGTGCCCATCCAATCTGTGAACCAGCAGAACCTCAAAAGTGAGCAAGGGCACGACAATCGTTATCCAGCTGATGGCCATGGTCACGTGTGTTCTTCGCTGTTCCGCAACCACATCCAGGGACCGCAAGAACAGGAGAGACCAGACGATGTAATAGAGGACGACCAGGCAAAGGAACGACATGAGGATCCACAGAGGCACGAACACCACTAGCCACGGCCAGTGGATAATCCTGTCCAGCCGCAGGGCGATGAAAATGAACTGCAGGATGTTGACAGAGCACAAGAGCTCCAGCTCCAGCGATCTATCGTGTCGGAAGCCCCATACGCAGGCGGCCACGGACACGGGGGATACGAAAAAGAGCGGCATGAAGACGAGCAGCCAGAAGTGGGTCCCCCTCTCCACCCTGTCGCAGACCAGGACTTCGAACATGAGCAGCAGCAGGTGAATGCCCACGGCGATCAACATAGCTTTGAACTCCACGCACGCCTCCCCCTCGGCGCGGTAGCGAGGGTTTCGGGCCCAAACGCCCGCGCCCACGGATGCACCGGCGATGACCAGGAGCTTCCACAGCCATATGGGGGCGAAGACAGCCCAGTAGCTCCACTGGATGATGCCGTCCAGGCGGAGGGGCAGCAGCACCGAGAAGAGCAGAAGGCAGGCGTAGATGAGAAACTTACTCGGGTTGAAGTCCTGGAACAGGCCCCTGGGGTTCATGGCGAGGCTGCTGCCCGCGCGCCCGGGCCTGCTGCTCGGCCCTACTCGGCGATCGCCGCGTCTCCGCTGCCTCCCGCGCCTGGCCTGCGGCCTATGTCGGCTCTCGTTGGGCAGCGGCCGAGGGCGGCCCGGAGGAGGGTCCGACCGCGGCGCCAAAAGCCGGAACACGTGAGTGCGTGGTCACGTGGCCCGGTAGGACGCGCGGTGGGCGTGGCGTGCGCGCCCGCGCTCTCCCAGCGGCCCGCGGGCCCGGGCGGTGCGATGACCGAGGGCCCGGCGCTGCCTTGGCCCCGCCGCCCGCCTTCACTCCGTACCCATCTGAAAGGCAGCTCCTGCTTGAGGCGCCGGGAGCGACGGCGCGGGCGACTCCGGCCCGGGGCCCGGCGCGCTGCTGACTTCCTGGCCGGCCCGTTGGAAGCGAGCGGGCCACGACCTCGGCGAACGCTTCCTGGCGGCGGCGGCGGGGGCAGGGAGGCGGGAGTGAGCTCACATCCTCCTGGCCGGCCCAGGGGCGGGGCCTCGCTGGGGCGGGGCCAGGGGCCCAGGAGGGAGGCTGGGCTGGGGGCGTGGCCGAGGGCGGGGCCCAGGAGGTGCGCGGGGCCGGGGCGGGTGGGGGCGGGACCCAGGGGGAGGGCGGGGTCGGGGTGGGTGGGGGCGGTCCGCCGCGGTTGCTCCACCCTCGCCGGCAACCGACCCAGGGGCTCTGGCTCCCGAGGTGACTGCAGCGCCGTGAGCGCGGTGGGAGGACGGCGTGGGCACGAGCGAAGGCGGGGCCAGGCGAATGTGGGAGTTTGCGAGCGAGGGAGTGGGTGCCGGTACTCTGATGTATGGGGTGAAGTGGGGGCTTTGCCTGGAACACATGGCTTCCAGGGCTAGACTCCGCCTGGTGGAGCGACGGCCACTTCTCAGGCTCTGAGGCCGCGGCGGCGGTCTTACACCTGCCCCTTTCATCCCAAAAGTGGCGGGCGGGTGCTGGGGAGGGTGGTTGACCCCGCAGAGCCCCTAGGCAAAGCCCCGGGGAGCAGGTGCTTCCTGCCCCGGCTCACCCGGCAGGTTAGGCGCAGAATGGACACCCAGATTGAGGGCTCTAGACTTTAAACCCCTAATCCTCATTTTGAATGCCTCAGTCTGATTCTCACAGGACAATGTTGGGAAAAGGGCACTGGACCAGAGTTAAAGAAATTGGGGTTCTAGTCCAGGCCCTGCCCTACCACCCACCAGCTGAGAAAGCTGGGTCAATTCACCCTCTTCTGTCTTTGCCTCAGCTTCCTGGGCTAAGTTGGGGGCCGGCCTGAGTGGTCTCCGAGGGCCAGCAGGTCAGCAGGGCCCCTCTCTCGCCAGGGTGGCAGACCCTGGAAGACTCCTCCTTCTGTTCTCCACTCTTCTGCTCAGGAGAGCCCTGGTTGCTCAAGCTTCTTGCCTTTCAGCTCCCACCGGCCCTACACGGGACAGTCCCCTGCAGTGGGTATGGAGTACCGGCACTCAAACCCTGGGCTCTGGGAGGGGAGGCCCTCAGAGGAATGGGTCTGCTGTCAGGGTCTCCATGGGGTAACAGGGAAGGGCTTCTTTGGAGAGAAGTGAGGGCCCTGGTCCAGACCCAGGAGCTGGGTGTCCCCAGGTCAGCATCAGCAGGATGTTCATGAGACGTGGGGTGGGGTGGACAGTCCCAGCCCTCAAAGATCTCCCTAGGACTTTACCGGCTTCCACCTCAGCGAGGGGCAATTGGGTGGTCCTGGGAGAGGGACTCCCAGCTGAGTGAGCCCTGCCGCTACCCAGGGCTCAACCCTGAACCCTCATCTTGCAGGATGTGCCTTCAGGGCCCCTTGGGTCTCCCCCTGGGGAGTCACTGTGGGGGAATGTCAGCTAAGGGCGGCTCCAGCCTTTCTCCCTCAACCCCTTTCCGTCATTCACCGTTGCTCTAATCTTTCCTTTCAAGAGGGAATTTCTCAGCTAAGACAAAATTGAAAATTCAAAAGCGCTGTATCAGTCTGACTGTGAAGTGGGCTGATAAAAGCCCATAGGATTGTTTTGAGGATTAGATGACTCAATACCTGGAAAGCACTTTGTATTTAAAGAAATGGGAGCTATTAATATTACCACACTGGGGAGAGGAAAGGGTGAGGTGGGGAGGGGCCTGCCTGCAGCTCTGCAGGGAGGCAGGAGCAGAGAGTCGGAAATCCTCCCCAGTCTCCTCCCTGAGGCCACATGACCTCAGGGCCTCTGCTGCCAGCTTTGCAGAGCGTGTTTTCCCAGCTCTAGAGCTCCTCATTTAAGACAAGCGCCTGGTTCTCCTCATCCAGGAAGGGGGTCTTGAGGTGCCTTGTGGCCCTGCTGCCCCACTGCTGCGGGAGGTCAGAGCCTGCTTCCAGGTTTGTGCTAGAGCCACTGTCTGCCGTCCCCTCAGCTGGCTTTCCCGGGCCTGCAGGCTGGACCCCCAGTCTGTACCTCGGACACCCTCCTCTGCTGTTTTCTCTGATGGGGTCTGTCTCTCAGGGACCTGCTCATGTCTTTACATTTACCTTGAAAGCTAACATGGACTGTGTGCTGTGTGCCAGGTGTGATGACTGAGCTGCCCATGAGGCTGGTACACAAAGTGTAAATTCATTCATTTACGGAGGGCGTGTGGTGGTGTGGGTGCTCTCGCCCACCAGGGCAGGCCTGCCTCTCCCGAGTCATGGTGCGTAGGGTCCTGAGATGTCCCAACTGCTTAGCATCCTCATTCCTAACTCCCCTTTCTGACCTGGGAGCCCTCCTGAGCTCTCCCTGGCCCACCTGCTGGCCAAGTCCCTTGTCCCTTTCCTGGGGTCTCCTGCCCATCTGCTGACCTCCCCGTGAATGTGCTGTGCGTGGCCTCTGCGTTCCATGGCCCTACTCTTCTCTCCTCAGAGGTGGCCCACACACCCTGACCCTCGTTCCTTCCTGGATGGCCAAAACCCAAGACAGGGCTTCAGACCCTGGGAAACCTTCTTGACCCCCCGGTGGACTGATGACCCTTCTCTGACCTTCCCCAGCATCAGGGGCTTTGTTCCTATCACGGGACTCATGTCACTGGGTTGAGTCTGGCCATCTTTCTCCCCATGAGATTTGCGTTCCAGACACCCAGCCAGTGCTTATGTCATAGCAAGTGCTTGAGAAATGTCGCTCGAGTGGATGAGTGAGTTAATTTGACTCTACTCATGAGTGTGACACTCTTGTCCAGATCCACTGGTTCCCTTCCTTCCTCATTCCGCTGAGCAATGTGGAACCAGCGCTAGACTCAGTCCTCTCATGGCCAGCATCCCAGGCCCTGTGCTGTCCGCTCCCCAGCCAGGTGGTCTGTTTTCAGATAGCTCACGTATCAGTTCCTAGTTTCCAATAGCTGGTGTAACAAATTGCCACAAACTTAGCCACTTAGGACAATGCCCCTTTATGATCTCCCAGTTTCTCTAACTCAGGGTCTGGGCGTAGGGTGGCTTGGCTGGTGCTCTGCTTGGGTCTCAGGTCAAGGTCAAGGTGTTGGCCGGGCTGCGTTCCCTCCGGAGGCTCCGGTGCTGAGTCTGCTTCCAAGTTTGTTGGCAGAATTTAGTTGCATGCTTGTAGGACTCAGGCTCCCATTTCCTTGCTAGCTGTCAGGTGGATGTCATTCTCAGCCACCTGCATCTCCTGGCTTGTCGCCTCCTTCAGAGCCACCAACGGTAGGTCGAGTCCTTCTCAGGCTGTTGAATTTCTCCGAGACTCGACGCTTTGCTGCATCTCTCTTCTGCCTTCTCTGTTTTTAAGAGCTCATGTGATTACATTGGGCCCAGCCAGATAATCCAGGATCATCTCTATTTTAAGGGCAGCCTATTAGTAACCTTAATGCCATCTGCAAAGTCCCTTCACAGCAGTACCTTGATTAGTGTTTGATTGAATAACCAGGGTGGACGGGTGGGAATGCTGGACATCTTTAGAATCCTGCACAGTACCAGCTGTCAGGCCCAGCGCAGCTCCTCCTACTCTAAGCAAGGGGAGAGCCTGACCGTGAGGGGCCAGTGCTCTGGGAGAGCTGGGTTTCCAAAGAGAGCCCTTGCCCCAGTGCCCTCTATACACAGACCAGGGGGACAGCACTGGGATCCCCTTGCTGAATGTCCTGAGTAGGTCTTGGGGCAGGGGGATGACCTGTACAGAAAGCCCAGGGGATATTTTCCCTTTAGGACCCATTTATGGATTTGCTCACATCAGCTTCTTCATGAGGAAGCCACAGCTCCTGGCCCTTTGCATCAGCCTCAGCACCCACCACTACCCCTGGGCCCCCAGTCCCTAAGCGTAGCAGGCGCTCACCTCTTCCTGCAATAGCCTCCTCCCCACTCTCCGTGCTTCCCCCGCTGCCCACACACACTCGTCAGTGTGGTAGTGTGCCCATGGACTCTGGAACCCCAAGGCCAGGGTGTGAATCCTGGCACTGCTGTCTCCAAGCTCTGTGACCTTGGCAAGTGACCGAGCGCCAGCCCCCATCTGTGAAATGGAGATAACCTCAGAAAATTGTGAGGGTACAATGAAACAGTGTACAAAAACCCGGACTATGCTCAATTATCCCATCCCATTGGTGGCTGTTGTTACTGCCTTGGCCACAGATGAGGTGTCCCTTCGTCTGTGGGCCTGTCCTCGCTGCCGTGTGGTCGGCCCAGGGCTTACCCCACAGGAGATGGGGATCCTGTGTTTGCTCATCTGACTGTCCCAGGGCACTGTGACTCTGCCAAGGGCAGGGCCGCATCTACTCTGGATCCACAGTTTCCAGCACAGGCCTCTACATAATAAGCGGATCCAGGAAAGCACAGGCGGGCAGGAAGCCTGGAGCTGATGTGGCATCTTTTCCCCGTGCTGAACAGTGGAGCAAGGTCAGCCCCGTGAGACAGGGCAGCCTGTCTAAAGCCAGTCTGTCTCGGGTTTGCAGGGAGGTGTTCCTGGGCCTGAGTGAGGACCTCCGGGAGCCCACCAGCTCCTCAGGCTGCACTGTGTCATCTGAAGCTGACTTTCAGGGGCTGTGGTGGCAAAGGCACTAACCTCATGTCACAGATGGGGAGACTGGATAGAATGAGGCCCAACACCCTGGCCATGGTTCTCTGCTAAACGGGAGGCTACAGACTTTCTACTGAGCCCTCCTGTTGGTCCAGCTGGTATCCTGGCCCTGTTTATGGGCTCAGTCCGGTGAGAATGACCCCTCCTTGAAGAGCCAGACTCTGGTTGGGACCCCTTGAGACTTAGCAGCTTTTCCTTAACTCATGTATTCATTTAACAAATATGTTCCAAGCATCTGCCTTGTGACCTAGGCCCTGTTCTGACATAGGATGCCACAGTGAACAGTTTCTACAACTTCTCCCATGCTGGCCCTGTCTCAGTTCAGTTGTCACCTCCTCCAAGAAGTCCTCCTTGACCACCCCACTTGAAGTCATCCCCGACCCTACTTATGTCACCCTGTTTTATTTCTCCTATTTCTTATATGGTCGCTAAATACATGCTCGCTTTAGGAAAATCTGTAAAACGCAGAGTCATTTTTAAAAAAGCCCTTTCCACCTATAGACAGTCACTGTTAACATTTTAGTGTATTCCCTTCCAGTTGGTCATCTCTGCAAAGACATGTTGTTGCCCACATGCCATTTTATTCTGCTTGTTTGCTTAGCATTAATTCTGAGGCTTGCTTATTTTCACATTTGGACATCTCAAGCTTGCACATAAGATTGCTGGTGTTTCACAGGTGCCGTCAGCCTGTGCTGAAATTCAGCTCTTCCAAAGGGGAGTCTTACTTGCTTCCGACAGTCACCTGGGGGCACTGCCCACTTGAGAGGATTGTACAGTAAACTTAAATTCAGTTACACATTTGCTTGAGGTGTTTTCAGACCATGTCTGTAGTGCACATTCAGACTCCATCCTGTATGAGGACGGGCTCGGGCTCCTTCGTGTTCGCAGGGACGGTTTTCTTCCCCCCCTGCACCCGGGGCCAAGGCTGACACACAATTTCTGCCTGACGGGGCTGTTATCATTCCCCCTACATGGAGGGAATAGCCCTTGGGGTCCCAGCTTTACTTAGATGCCTCTTGTTAGACAACCCATCCCGGGTATTTTTTCTTCCTTTGTGGTTCTTGAAATAGTGGCGTGTCTTATAATCAGTAGTGTCTTAAATGTGATGAAGTTCTAGAAATACAAACATTTCTCAGATTAACACGAACACGTTGCGAGTGTCTTTTTAATGGCTGCACGATATTACTCACAGGGTTGTCTGACGCTTCACTCACCCCTTCCGTGGCTGTCTTGGGATTATTGCTGCTCTTTGCTGAGATAAGCGGCACTGTGGTCTTTCTTAGTACGCACAGCTTCCTTCTCTTTCAGATGCTTTCTTTAGGTTAATTCCCAGAATCACATTACCAGTTGAAGGAATGAAAATTCTGAAGACCCTTGATAATCAAGCCCGTGTTTTCAGAGGCTGATTTGTTTTCTTTCTTCTGTGTTTTTGTAGAAACAGTCAGTGCCACCACAAGTTGGCTACGAATCTGCCTTTAACTGGCAGAGCTGGTCGAGCGATTTCAGTCTGGAAAACTCCAAAAAAGTGGAGAATTAACGTTAACGAGGTAAAGAGGCTGAAACCACAAGTTTTCTCAGGTGTAGGGCTGCATAAAATTAAAAGTCAGTTAAAAACGGGCTGGTTTTGACGTGTGTGAGTGTGCACACGTGGGGTCAGTGGTTTATTCGGGGTTGATCACAATCACCTCAGAATGTTACGACCTGCTAAACTGAGGCATCCAAATATTATTAATTCAAACTATTCTTTTTGGGGGTATGGGCGGGAAGCTTCCTGAATTACAGAATATCGTTAAACGGGTTGTAGGCAATTCAAGCATCAATGGTTTGTGTTTAAGTCGGCGCTACTAAAATATTTTAAGCAGTTTGCACGTGTGAATTAAGCTTTCCACTCTTGTTTGCCCTCTTAATTTACTCAACAAAAGCTTTTTTTCTGTACAAAGGTAATCCTCAGTTCTGCTTGCACCTGGATTTGTGGTAAATTCAGAGACAGTGCGACCTGGATGATTGATGGTTTACTGGGGCAGAACAAGTTGTGAAATTTTCATCCTAATTTTCCTCTGGGTTGCCTTTCATTCTTTCATTGACTGGTACAAAGTAGGAAACACTAATAAACAAACAAATAAAGTAAATGTCTCTGAGTGTCCTTCAGAGCCACACCCTGGAGTTACCTTGTGAACAGTGTGTGGCTCTCGCCTTTAAGGGGCTGTCGGTTGAGCAGCACAGGAGACACACGGCACCACATGGTGACACAGGCCACAGGAGCGCGCACTCCCTGCATCAAAGCTTCAGTGGCTTCTCACTTCTCAGGACAAACTCCAAATGCCTCACCACGCCCTTCAAGGCCCAGGTTGACCGGCCCCTCTCTCTGGCCTCAGCTCATTGCTTCCTGGCCTCCTGTGGCCATGGCAGCTTCTTTCTGTTCTTCTAACCCCCAGACTCGTTGCCGCATCAATGGCGATCATCGATTTGGGTGTCTGGGCAGATGCTGGGCCCACACATGTGCGTCCAGCCATTCGCTCATCGGTCAGCTGTTGTAGGCAGATGTCTCCTGGGCCCCGACCCTGAGGCCTGATTAGTCTGCCACACAGTCAAAGGGCACAAACAGGAAACACTGAACAACCCTGAAAGAGCCAGAGAGCAAACCAGAGGTCACTGGGCTGAAACCAATTAAAAGTCAACTAGAAAAAAGAAGCATTGAAAATAAGCTGTAGGGTGACAACTGGGCCAGCTGGGTGATCAGGGGAGGAGGCTGTGCTGTGGCTGTAACAGAACTCTGAACCAGACCAATGCTGAGAGGACCCCGGGTCTATTAGAGCATGAGCCCAAGAAGGGACCACCTGGCTTCAAATCCAGCTCTGTCATTTCACCAGCTGTGTGTCCTTGACCTAATGAGTCAGGCTCTCTGAAGCTAGGTTCTCATCTGTACAATGGGGATAGTGATGTCTGCTTCACAGGATGGAGGTGAGTAATAGAGCTGTAGGGCCTGGCACGTCTAGCAGGTGATCAACATATGGACATGCTCCTCTGCTCTCTCCCTCTCCCCCGTTCGGCTGCTGGAGAGGAGAATTCCCGGCAGGGAAGTGGGGTCCCTGTCTGATCGGTGTTGGAGTCAGGTGGGGTGTAACTAGAGGAGAACTTCAGTTATATAACTAAAGTAAACGACCAGGTGACTGGCATCTGATTCACTCTCCAGCCTGGGCCCAGTTCTGCCTTATAAGTTCGGGGGCCTGAAGGGTCAGGGGTCTCCAAATGCAGTCTGAATGCTGTACTGCTGGTTAAACCCAGGCAGATTCCGGGGCCTCAACCCAGACTTACCAAGTCAGAGGCCTGGGGCTGGGGCCTGGAATCCACATTTTTCTGAAGTTCCCCACATGATTCCAGCATGCAGCCAGGTTTCAGAACCATCAGCCAGGTGGCCCCTGAAAAGCCTTTTTAGCCCTCACAGTTTGTGTTTCTATCCCCAACCAATGCCCTGTGCCGCTGTGGGAGGTCGTATCAGTATGTCTGGTCCGGAGCTCATCTCTTGCTTTCATCAGAGATACGAGGTCTCTCCAGTGCTGACTCATGCGACGAAACCACAAGCTGGTACCACTAAGTCTAGAAATAAATCTCGGGCTGCCTCCGGGGCCCCACACCTGAGGTCGTCTGCAAGGAGAGGAAACAGCTAACCTCTGAGACCAGGATGCTTTCTCCCCACGTATCAGCTGAATCTAATCTGAAAATGCATCTCTGAGGCTGGGGATGCATTATAGGATTAAAACCTAGACAGAGCAGGCCCTTCCTTCTCACAGAGCAGCTTCCTGCCCAGGCGAGAATGTGGAACTCTGCGGGGCTCCTGCTGCTCTTACACTTTTCTCTCATAAGAACATAAAAATTATTTACCGTCGCTGGGTTTCTTTCCAAATTGCCCAAAACAGCTATAAACTTCCCGGCTTTATCTAGGGGGCCTTCGGGGCGGTGAATTACTGTTCACCTAATGAATTCCGATTGCAAGCCCAGCATGACTAGATTTCCCCCGTGAAGACAGGTAATTTGTTGAACTCCGAGTGCTTTTACAGAGCAGGGGGTTGAGGAAAGAGGTTTTATTTTACAGTTTCTAAGTGGGTGATTAAAAACTCCATAAAGATGGTTTACGGCCATCAGCACCACCACAACAGATGGATCAGCAAAAGGGGTCGTCATAAATCATATGGTGTGTGGGGAGCAGAGGTACAAAGAACACCTAGGATTTTTTTTTTTTAATTAACAAACAGAACACCTTTAGAAGTAAATAGAGGGCCCAGTTTTCCCCTTTGGGCCGAAAGGGGCTTCAAAAGGGGGAGACAAATCAGTTTTCACTGTTTAGTGGAATGATGACGATGGCAGTGATTGGGGGAGCAGAGCGACCCTTTACTTGGCCTGGTGTGTGGGGGGAGGGGTTTGCCCACCTTCCAGGGAGGAGACTGATGCTCAGAGAGGCCAAGCACCCACCCGACTCTGCAAGCCAGGGTTTGAACCCAGGTCCCTGTGCTCCCACCTCGTCCCTCCAGTGGCGCAGGGAATGAGACGGATTATGTCTCTGCTGATGCTCAGCTTGGACAACAACTAAGAAAACACCACAGGGTGTCTGCCACACGGCTGGTTAGAAGTTATTTTAAAAGAATTATTTCCTAAATTACCAATTTCTTTTTATTTAATTAATTTATTTTTTGAGGAAGATTAGCTCTGAGATAACATCTGCTGCCAGTCCTCCTCTTTTTGCTGAGGAAGACTGGCCCTGAGCTAACATCCGTGCCTATCTTCCTCTACTTTATATGTGGGACGCCTACCACAGCATGGCGTGTGAAGCGGTGCCATGTCCGCACCCGGGATCCGAACTGGTGAATCCTGGGACACCAAAGCGGAGTGTGCGCACTTAACCACTGCGCCACCAGGCAGGCCCCCCCCAATTTCTAACTATTAAAAAATGTGTGTATTGCCCTTGAGTGAAAGGAGGTGAGGATCAGAACCCCCTTTCTGGTGTACCAATTTAGGCAGTGAGGGGAGTAAGATTGTGGCAAGGTGCTGGGAGAGCCGGCGGTGGCTGTGAGGCCCTGCTCCCCCCGTCACAGATCACTGCAATCAGGAGGCGCAGGTTGCACAAGGCCAGTGGCCAGGCCGACAGAGAGGTGAGGGGTAACCCCCTCCTAAGCAGCTGGCTTTTCTCCTTTTCTTGTGACCCTGGTCTGAGCACTGACATCATGTTTCTGTCATGGATAGCACAAAAACAACCAGCAGATTTTGCAGACTTCCCATGAGCAGGGTTCTGCAACGGCTGCTGTGTTGTCCAAATCTTTCAGTATAAACATCTGGATGTAATCACCCGTTCATTTCTTTCCTGCATCGCCCCACTTGGACATGGGGATCAAAGGAGACGTGGTGGAGAGAACAGGGGTGTTAGAGCCAGGTCGGGTCTGGCTCCCCGGGCACACGTCTGAAGTCTGGCTTCTAGGTGCACATATCAGGCATCAGGCTTCATGTCCTTCTCCCCAAAAGCAAATACCCTCAGCAGAGCTGGCAAGGGGCATAGTCTTAGGCACTGCTTCTTCCAGCTCCTTCGTACCTGGCTGTGCAGCCTCTGTTTTCTCGTCCTGCTCTCTGTCCGCTGGTGAGGCTGCTTCCTGGCCTGGCGCCCATGGGGGTGGATTCTGGCCTGTCTGCAGGGCAGAGTTGTAATTTAAAGCCTGGATTGTATGCGGGGCAGCCCTGCTCTGGATCCCACCTCTGCTGCTTCCTGGCTGCGAGATCTTGGGCAAACAGCTTGGCCACTGTACCTCTCTTTTCTCTTACTATACAATGGGGTGGTGCTAGAACCCACTGTGCTGGGGGACTGGCTGAGTGTGGGCTGGGGAAGCGCCAGACCAGTTCTCGCGTGGGAAGCCTTCCGAAACTTCTGTAACGGAGAGGCAGCTGCTCTCCTGTCTAGAGAAGGGCTATTATTACAGCAGTCTGCTGTCTTCAGTCTCATCCACTGCTTCCCTTCGACAGAGTGTGGGGAATGCTGCCTGCTGGCTGCTAGCCCTCCTCACCAGTCTCATCCCTTTCTCTCTGGGATTGGACAGAGGTCTTCTGGAAGCTGCATTCTAACCTCTGTCAAGATCAGCATTTTGTATGTAGCTTTGGAGAAGGGAGTATGATTTTGTTACCTCTTTGGTGGGAAAAGTTACTTCCTGGGGCTGGCCCCATGGCTGAGTGGTTAAGTTCGCGCGCTCCGCTGCAGGCGGCCCAATGCTTCGTTGGTTCGAATCCTGGGCGCGGACATGGCACTGCTCATTGAGCCACGCTGAGGCAGCGTCCCACATGCCACAACTAGAAGGGCTCACAACTAAACATACACAGCTATGTACCCGGGGGCTTTGGGGAGAAAAAGGAAAAATAAAATCCTAAAAAAAAAAAAAAAAGTTACTTCCTGTTGGGGTCTGTGCTAAAGACTAACTCCCGTTGGGTGACAGAGGCACTTCCTGCCGCGGTCCACAGGGAGGAGGGACTGGGAGTCACACGTGGGACTGTCTACTGCTTCTCAGAGCCAGGATCCCATCTCTAGATGGAAATGAGAGGTGGAGGCAGTGATCGGGGTGCAGTGTCTCCAGCCCCTAAGACTGGATTTGAGCTTTTATTTTGTCCCAGTCCCTCGTTTGGACATGGCTGGATTCCTTGCTTAAGATAAATAATGTTGAACACTACGTGGCACATACTGTGAGCCAGGCACTGTCGCAGGCCGTGAAGTGGCTACTATCATTGTCCACATGTTTGCACAGGAAGACCACGAGGCTCAGAATGGTTAGTGACTTGCTCAAGCTCAGACATCTGGAAAGCAGCAGAGCCGGGGTGCACAGCTGGTCTGATTCCGGAGTCCAGCTTTGAACCATCAGTACAGGACCTCCCACCACCAGCTGAGGAGAAAGGACCATTTACTGAACACGTTCTATGCTTCAAGCATGATGTCAGAATACATAACTAAAATCCCTGATCGACTCCTTTCTCCCGAGGAAGATCAGAGAGGGAGGGATGGAGAAGGGGGGCAGCAAGCAGCTTTGCCCTCCTCTGTCTGCTTCTGTCAGGCTGGAGCCGATGAGACAAGGAGCTGTTGGGGCCAGGCTGGGCCCAACCA